CTTGTTTTGTTTTTTCCCACAGTTTCTTGTTGGTAATTCTTTCCGGCCATCTGATCATCAGTATAGAACGAAGACAGCTGTTGATAAAGGTCTGCAACAGGCTTGGAAATATTCTTTGTGACCCCCCAAGTTTCTGATCCGTATAGAAGAACTGACTGACTTGACGTTGTGTTGAAATCCGAATTTTGTTGTTGGCACTATAAACTGCAAATCGACAGAAGTTAGAATTTATGGACCACTAGATTCCATCGCAATGGCTCAGTAGTCAATGTACACGCCTCTTAAACTCATGATCTTGCTTTGGATCCCCGGTGCAGTTATGACGAGTCCTAAACTAGGACGAAATAGCTGTCGAGTACTCCTTGCTTTCCAGTGGTTCTATCTCTAACAGATGCCAATCGATAATCTAACTTGGAACGAATCAAATTCTGCAAACTACTAACACTTGAGGAGAATAATAATAATGTAGTGCACCTTCAATGTACTTGTAATATGGGCGCTACGCCATACCTTTTTGCCTGTACGCCATTACGTTTGCACACTCCCTCGCTGTGCTGACTACAAGCACACTCTTTGAGCCTGCTATTCCGCATCACTTCAGATAAGTTGTACAATATTCTTATTTATTAAATTTGACATTTCATATATGGTAAAAAATATAATTCTTATCAGAGCACACTACCAAGTCACAAGCCTTTTTACTTCGAGATCGTTAATCGGTACTCACATGTTAGGTGGAGTACTGATTAGGGTTAATTAAAGTCTACCTTAAGTACAACCAGCAACATACAATAATATCGCAAAATAGACACTGTCGCCATTTTTCATCACCCTTCAATCAATTGGTACCGAATGCATGGAGCCAGTGAATACGAAGACCTACACTCATGCGTACTTAAGTGTTTCAGAAGCAAAATAAGCCAAGAGAGACACTTTTTGCAGCGGAATGTCTCCAGACACTACTGACTTATGACAAAGTTGAATCCCTACAAAATTAACGATTAAAATGTATAACTTCTTGATACTTCATGAAAATAATGATGTCTATAGATTATCAGGAAGAGAATCATTCAAATTAAATAATTACTTGTCGAGCTTCTTGCCCTATATTAATCTTATAGTACAAAAGATTTATAACTGTAGACTATGACGAGCATTGTTCGGTAATCTATAAGCTTCAATATTCAGTTACAAACTTTTCACGACAATATCAAGTGACTTCATAAGATTAAAGTCCAAAGGTAAATATAGAAATATTACTTAACAGTTTATCAACATCTCATTCGTTTCTAATACCTTAGTAAAAACACAAATATTAAAATCAATTGAAATACAATAGGACATATTGACTTTATTTTAAACTAAGGTGAACTTAATAGAAATCAAACATTCAGAAAACAGTCGTCTGAAATTTGAACAGTCATCAGCAAAATAAGTTTAAGTAATGTTGATCACAAATATCAATTTTCTCGTTTTCTTCTTCTGAATATCAATCCAATCGCCTAGAAGTGGGTTATACAAGCGTCAGACTCAGTGACCGAAGGATAATAAAAGACATGAACATAGCTCTCCGGCGAAACTCTTAAGAAAGAAATAAGTTGCATCTGCGGAGAGGAAGCCCTTCTATATGAGATCAGAATTTAAAAATGATGTACCAAATGAAATTATGATAAACAAGTTAGACAGATCAACTCGTAGAACACTTAGAGCTGGTAAATTGTAGCTGATATTTTTCACACGCCAAGATGTGACACCGAATCAGAAAGATGAAGCGCTTAGGCTAGCCAACTCTTCTTGTATCTATGCATTAAAGTGCTTCCGTGGGTCATTGCTGTAGGGAACTTGATTTTTCCTGCTCAGGTAAATCTCCCAGTATGGCTGAGTAAAGGTGTAATAAAAAGCATTAACAGTTAAATATTAAGCCTATATAATATATGGGACTATCACGTAATTCCATGAACCACTTTAAGAAACAAATTACGAGCAAGTCGACCACCATATTGTCTACAGGAAGACAACTCATTTTAAACATTTTACCTCCATGGTCCAAACTAGCCTAAATGAACAACTCTTCTCACTGACTACAAACACAGAATTACGAATTGAAGTGCATTGTTATTTCTGGAGTTAATCATCTGCGTCGTTTACCCAGATGACAACCCCCAGCACACTGAGGGTGTAGCTATCATGATGTTACAAACAGCATCGAAGAATCTCATGCAGTCAGAATCAATCTCTCCCAGAAACACGACAGCAAGATTCAAATCAAAAGGAATGAAATTTGCAATTCTTACAATTCTACGCACCTACGAAAAATGGAAACCAAGAGACTTCCATAGATAACTGGAAAGTGATGGAGAAGGTCAAGTTGAAAGCTTACAAAGAAGCTGGACATACAAGTGCGAAAGAATTTATATAGAAATCTTAGACAGGAAGAGAGGGAAGAACAAAGAATGGCTCCCTATGGAGACCCGGAAGTTGATAGAGGAGATAAAGATGGAGAAGCAGACCATGAAATGAGGAGCATGATTTAAAACGCACTCAACATAAATGTTAAGAGGAGTGCTAGGAAAAACAAAAGACGTCTTTGTGAAAAGCTGGCAACAGAAGCAGAAGAGAACGCAGGTTAGAGCTCACAACAAATAACGTTGAGCTGGTCACTTCAAAAGAACCTTGACAGTGGTCACCGCACACAACTCCTTCAGAAATTTTTTTTATTTAAACCTGGTGTCATATGGCACCAAGAAAAATAAAACAACATAGATTAAAAGTAAAAATATAGGCGGAGAACGGATAAAGAACTTCATCTGGAAGGAAAAGTCATAATTTAAAAGTTCAAACATCATTCGTCAACTATTGTCGGGAACGAAAGACAGAAGAAAACTGCAGGACTTTCGCCATCCGTTACGATTCTTGAACATATCTCATGACGTTTCGAGTCATTGATTCGAGGTACCTTTTGAACTCCAACCAGGGAGTCGTAACGCACCAACCGATGCTAACCTAGCACAAATATCCTTCATCCCACGACACCACGTCATGGGCTGACCAACTCTCCGCTTTTTCCATCCCGTCACAGGGCTACCAAACAGAGGCCTCTTGAATGACATTCGCAGCACATGTCTAAGGCACTGAAGCCGATGTTTCGAGATGACGACACTCAATGAATGATAATCTCCACTGTTTCCAAACACACGCCACTGGACCTCAGAATTACTCACGCGATGATTCCATCGGACGCAAGCAATCCTGTGGTGACAGCGATGATCGAATACGCAGAGCCGCCGCACATCCTCAGCTCAGAAAGGCTTCGTTTTACAGGCGTAGCCCAAGATAGCCCGCACCGAAGCGTAGTATAGCCAACCTCTGACAACCAGGCTAACGTCGAGACGGCGCCAGAGATTGCTGAAGTTAATGTATGCCACTCTAGTCTTCATCATACGGTTGGAAATCTCATCCGTCATAACTCCGCAATCACTCACACAACTACCCAGATACACAAACTTATCAACAACTTCAAGCGGTTCACCTGTAACAGTGAGTGCACGTACATGCTCCTACCAATCTTGTAACAGTACTTTCCACTTAGATGGAGCAAAGCACATATCATACTTACAGACACTGATCGCCAACTGGTTAAGTGCGATTTGGGCAGCTTGCATGCTATCGCACAGTAAGACGATATCGTCTGCATCCTCGAGGTCGAAACGTCTATCTTCAGGGGGCAAATCTACACCACCTTCACGCACATCCTTCAGAGATGACTCCAGAATGTCATCGATGGCAAAGTTAAAGAGAAATGGAGAGATTGGGCAACCCTTTCTAACCCCACTGTTGGTTGGGAACAGTGATGATAGTTGGTTGTATGCCCTCACTCTACCTGAGGTGCTTCTGTTTAGGGCTTTTAGGATGTTCACAAACTTCTCAGGTACAACCCTCTCAAACAGACAGTTCCAGAGCACAGTTCTGTCCAGCGAATTGAAGGCAGACCTAATATCAAGAAACATAACAATTGTCGGCCTGCAGTACGTGTGGCGGTGTTCCAATAACGGATGAGGGGTGAACACATGATCAATGCATCCACGCGACCTGAATGAAGCCCAACCTACTCTTCACGAAACAACCCCTCACGTGTTTTGCGCAACCTGCGAAGCAAGACAGAAGCCAATAATTTAGACGCAACTGGTAGCAGACTGATACTCCTATGATTGTCACATGAGTTACGTCGACCCGTTTTAGAAATGAGGACGATAGTGGCTTCACTCCATATTGATGGTACATTCTCAGTCTCCCGTACTTTCCTGAATAATCTAGTTAAAGTCATGACAAGAGTCTCGTCACCATATACACATTATGTTTCTGAAGTAGCGGCTAGTATACTGAAATCGTCCGGAATAGATATCGCACCAAAAATTAACACAATCACTCCATACAATAGTATGCAGACCGAAAAGCACAACAACAACAAAGAAGACAAGATTAACACCATCTCCAAAATAAATTGCATGGATTATGATTAGCAGTATATTGGTCAAAGTGGGCATCCTTTTCGTCTCCGAATTGAAGTACGTGTAAACCAACCGTCAAAGGACATGACATGTATCGTTCAATATCAGTGCATGTAAACAACCATGGACACCAATATGGTTGGGAAAATGGAGAAATCTTAATCAGTGTGGAATACTGAAATTGTCTGGGAATTCCTAGAAGTCTTGTATTTAGACGAATCAACGAGTTAAAGATACATTACAACAGATCAAGTTTATCAGTTTAATAGAAAATAATCCACATAGTAAAAACAGTCAAATTCCGAGTCAATAAAAACAATCAATACTGATGCAAATGAACAACCAATCACAACAAAGGTTGCCAGGAGATACAATGATATCATTCATGCAGAATTCAAATAAGTTCACTTTATATTAGAGCTTGTGCTAAAGATGCTGTCTAAAAGAACAATGACAGGTTCGCAGTTAAACCATCCAGCACCATCGATTATATATATATATATATATATCGTCTATGGAAAAAAAATGAAACATTGAGAACAAAAATTATCCTTTGTTTAAAACAGAAAAAACTGTCAAGCCATACTTATAACTGTATATATTTCGGATTTCTTTGTAACTAAATATATCAAACATAGTACATACTCGTGCATCGTATAAACGTGTTAGAAATTTTGACTTAGGAAAATTGGTGTTTCCTTTTGACAAAAGAAACAGCAATTTAGACCTACAGATATACACAACACCATAAAATGTAGGGGATAGGAGTATTATTTTAGAAATTTAATGAACAAACAGAAATATACAGGTATATAAAAATATAGTATATGCATATCACACCTGTGTGTGCTTAACAAAGTCAAAAGTTAAAAAACATTAACGAAGTTATTGTTCAAGTTAAAAGAAAACCACAGTTTTAGGCGTGCAACTTTAATTATTAGGAACTGATATCACCAACCATGAAAGAAAAACATAAAATAATACAATTGGATACACAGAAAGAGCAACACGATTCTTTGGTAATGTTGGATGAACAAATATAAATGATGCATATGAAGAGTAAATTAGGCCAGAAATGACAATGAATAGTCTGACAATAAAAACAAATAATGAGTTTGAACTTGTGAGTGAAAGTACTCGACAGATAACTAAACCAATTACAAGTGGTAGAATACAATAGCCCAAAACGCATACAGTCTGAAGGAATGACCTTTAAAAGTAAGAAAAAAAGAAGAGAAGTATGGTAAATTTAATTCAAGTTACTACTTTTTATCGATGTAACTGAATAATTCAAGCTAAAGATGACCTACGCTACTTTACAAGAACCACCTAGTTTATGCATAAAAACTGGAATGGTTAAATGAATCCTTCACTTTATTTATTTCGAAGTGTATTGCAGCTAATCGGAAAACGATATAGCAAACTAGCAACCTGGTATCAACTTATCTACTAGAATACACAGGATACACTTAGTGTGTGTAGGCTTATGATATCACCCAGTTGAGCTTAATAAATAAATAAATAGTGTAAGCTTTGAATTCAGGCACAATTACACGGAAATGAAGCACTTAGACTCAAGACGCAGTACACCTATATCCAGCAGACTAATTTCTGGTAAAACGTCAATACCGATGGATAACAGCAAAGAGAAAATTAAAACAAGTGAACTCTTGTCAATTACAGTGATTAAGAAGCCTATTCTGCATATTGGACAATAACCTACTTCGGCATATATATTTTTTGATTTGATTTTGATTATGGCTTGAAACCACACAGTATTTTTGGTACAAGTATGAAATTTTCAGCATATGATGTCGGTAACCCAAATTTTGCAGGCTGACCATAGATATCAGGTGTGCATCGGCAGCGGGTCGAACCCCGGACTATGTGCATGATCGGCGAGAGCCCTAACCGCTGTGCCACCGACGCACAAAAGTATAAAGATGAGTTAATGAAATCGATGTCTATTAATGTAGGAAATTGTAGTTAATCCAGTAAGGATCAATACAAGTGAAATCGACTTTCAAAAGTTAAGGCATTCAAACTTAGAATTTTCAATACATTATTGTTATCATTGTTATTTTAGTTTCATATCGCCAGCTCATTTCTCCTCCTCTGTTATCCCTTTTGTTAATTTCCCCTAGCTCTCTTAAGCTGATATACTTAGTAACCGTAGTAATTATACCACACAGTATGCAGTTGACCTCTGATCGTTAGGTATAGCCAGTAGCATCTAGTGTTATTTACAGAACACAAAACCTATGCTCATTTAGATATTTATTCTAACTAACGGAATTATTGACCTTATCAATTTTAGAAGACTTTTGTCAAGACTTTAAAGGACAAGAATTTAGTGTTACAAAGAACTTATATTACAACTACCAACTTTTTGTAAAAATGATAACAAAATGACTTTACAAACTTAAAAAATAACAAGGTAGCAACACTTACACTGCACCACCAAGCAACTTCGAATTTAACGTCACAATCGCTGAACCAAGCCAAAATATGACGAAAACTTGGGCGAATTCTGGTCCACCGTGTTCAGAACCTTCTGCATTTGAACTATGTAACAGTCTAAAACCATTAAGAAGAAATCCAGTCAAAATGATGAATATCAATCGGATGTTGAAAGGGGAAATAAATGGTAAAATAAACAATACAGCTTCTGTTAAAATATATAGTGTGAATGCTTTCGAAAGCAACACAAAAGAAATATAATTTCATGTAATTCACGATTGTCAACAGCCAATAGGGTTCCAGACTACCAGCACATTAGTGAATTCACTAACTGACAAATTATCAAATGAAACATCAAAACAGCATCCAAGAAACGAGAGAAAAGGGGGATATTTATGAGTTTAAAAAGGAAAATCGCTCAGTGGGGATAGGCGACAACATCTGAGATTTAGAAGACGATAAAGAATGAGTGCTTACAGGATTTCATCATGAGCTGACATTGGTTGGAGAACTATTGGAAAACCTGGGAGTACTGGACAGCGATTTTGTCCCACCAGTTTGGGACTCTTCAGCAGTACGCATCCATCGGAGTTCGAACCCAGGAGCTTCTGGTTACAAGGCAAGCTCGTATACCATAAAGCCACTGGGACTCAAAACAATGGCCCATGAATTCTAACTTCGGCCAATTCACGATATAGCGCAACCACTACACAATACTTGAAAAGAATGAATGCATCTGAATAATTATGAACAGCACCAAAAGTCTCTTTACTGATCTTCTTAATGTGGTCCAAACTAAAGAACAGACTTTATGGACTTGTGTCATTTTATAATCTCACCACCAACCTATTGTTAACTTATTTTACATTTCTAATAACACATGCCCTGGCCTCTCACGCCTTAACATGCGGAGATTAAATATCTCAGCAAGAGGAGTCACTGATCATTATACACGTCCTTTAATAGGTAATCAGACATCTAAACATACTCCAAAGATAACAGAAGTCAGAAAATGTCAAAGTAGGCTTTTGTGTTTGTCATCACGACTACTTCGGCAGAACACAAGTGCAAATAAATTTAGCGGAAACCTCTGACATTCAGGCTTTTGTTCAGGTTTATAAGACTGCATTCTGTCAGCATCAGCACTCCGGTGAAGTATATGGCTTGCGTACCTTCAGTCAACTACCGATACGAAATTAGTTTGGTGGTGACCATAAACACAAACAATACTCAGTATTAGGGCTTGGCCTTCATTGTCTTTCTCAGTAACTTCAGATAAAGATGTGCTGTCAAAATTCCAAGCTGCTGCTGCTGGATTCAACATAGAACTTGGCACCGAAGTGCAGCAGTTCGAGTTGCCACGTTCGAAAGAGCACACAAAGGTAGACAGGAAAATGAGTGAAGAGAATCAATAGAATTTAGATAAGTATAAGAGTGAAACAGAATGAGTAATGGTAGAAAGGAGTATGAAGGTTAAAGAGACTGAATACATCTGCGCCATTGACAACGATTTTGGGCCATGTCACCTATTGTCTCCAAGCCATTCCAAGCCATTTTATAGAAGTTTATAGGGTTCGTGCACAAATAACTAGCAAGATATACTACACATATTATTATGCTGGGAACGTCCCGTAGAAACGCTTATTAGTTTAAACGACTTTTTTGGGCTTGTGTCCTAAGTGTCTGCAATAACAGTTAATGCACAAGTAAAAGTTTTCTCACCATTTTCAAAAAGAGGTAAAAGCGAAAGGCCTAATATTGTATTTGATTCGGAAAGACTTCAGTAAAAGTCTCCCCCAGGAACAAATACTGGAAAGATTTTATCAATACAAAACTATTTCCTTTACACAAGAGAACTTTGAATGTTTCCACTAGCTTGCTGACTGAATCACTGACAAAACGGCGTAAGTGTTTGCACAAAAGTGCATTAGTTCAAGTTGCTACACTTCAAAAGAATGCACCACCCACACAAAGGAAATTTAATAAAACTGCAGTGGACAAAGACATTCCAGAGACTTATTAGATGGACGCTAATGAAATATTCTCAGATTCAAAGATGACAAACAGTGAATATACCTTCGTTGCGTAAATATATATTTATTCATTTATATATTATATATATAATGATGGGCTGAGCAACATCGAATAATAAAAAGAGCACTATAAAGTTCCCGGTTTATGATTTACATAAAACAAAAGGAGTCAGCGTAACTTTGGTAGTTGTATTGAAGTTAGTACTGAAATTGATCCGGAATAACAACTGAAAACGTCGTCAAGATATTATTCTTTGACTTCACCTGGGACGTTATACTACGACCCCGCTCTATGTTTGAACTGTCAAATGAAACATTATGGTATATTTATAAATTTAGCATACTACTCGGCATACATATCAATGCTTATGGAGGCCTTTACATCACAGTAACACAAACCAATTTCAGTGAACTTACGTAGACATAATTAGACAGAGAACCAATGGGCCCCAGAGATCCCCTGGAAAACGTCAGTAATATATATTAGACTTATAGCATTACACCTACATTCCTTCAGTAATCCTTGTCCCTGGCGTGGGACTAGAACATACGCGAATTTCTGACCGACGGCGCGCGCTGATCTAAGCTGTTCAAATCAATAAACAAGGGACTGCAATTACAATTGTGTCACGAATGGGTTCATCAAGTAATGTCAAACTGTCACCAGCATATTGTTCACTATCAACGATATGACCTTCCAGCATGGCAGATCCCATGTGCTACGATATAAGGTTAGTTAATATATGCGAATACTTGTCCTGACGATTGAAACTCTAGCATACAAACGGCTGAAATTAGGGCCCGTGTAGCGAAAACCAAACTAACCGCCTTTCGATGACCTCAGAGTGACCTTAAGTACACGCTGCAATACCAAATCAATTTTTATGCGATAGAAAAAACGGCTGAAATTATCCCGCATGTTCAAGGTCATTGATGAAGTGAGACGCTCAAAGGTCATTTTCGTCCATTTTAGTCGGTTACGTTGGATTGCAGTTCCGTAGCCGTTCGTTTACACATTGGCTTTACGTTCTGTTGGCATTTATAGGTGATTCTCATGTACTGATAGCATTCTTTTGTAAAATAGTACTGTTCTTCACACGAAAATAGCCAAATTTTGACGTAGTCTTCATTGAATGATATTATGTCGAGGGCTGCAGCTTCTACAAGAAATAAACTATTTGTGTAGATGACATTACCCCCCAACTACCCCATCTTCTTCATTGTAGAGATGTTTTGACGCATTCAGCATGAAACACTAATCATTACAACCAATATGCTAAGTGTGTCGCAGTCAGATTAAATGACGCGAACACCAACATAACTAGCCAGGAAATGAGAATTCCTATCAATCCAGAAAACATATAAAAAAATTTTATTAAAAATTATTGACAAAAAAAATTTACCGGGCGAAATTTCAACCAACATGCCGGATAAGTCCAGCCGAAAAAACGGATAGGTGTTTTCGCCCCATCATAGCACTGCCGTGGTTGAAAATAGTTTCTGAAGAGGTCGATTATTTGGTCCTGGAAAAGATAACTAGACAATAACCGAAGGGTTAATAGTAGAAATGCATAAGACTGGTAGCAAAAGCAGAAGGGGTGACTAAAATTTAGCAGCCAAAAGGGAAACTACCTTATGAACGGACAAATGACCTTGGCAAGGACAACTTTAACCAATCAGAAGGCTTAAAATGAACGGTGCATAATTTTAATAAATAGTTTATATACAAGTAATGCAATGTTAAAAAATAGTTACAAAGGATACCGTTCTCGTACATGCTGCAGAAAAACCTCCCAATTTGACATAGGAGTCTTTAAAGTCATGTTAAACCTATACATAAACTCGTCGAGATAACTGTGAATCATTACATTTCTTGATCCGTTCACAGATCTTATCCGTTTTTTGAGGTGACTCCAGAAACTTTCAGTGGAATTAGTTTGAGTTCCATTGAAAGGATTTATGAATATGCTTGTATGGTTGAAAACTTCATGAATATAGCCAAGATTTGATAATTGACTGTAACTGCTCCACTCATCCGTATGTATAGTTGTTGGATAATGGGTAACAGTACATTTGCACTGCGATTAGGAATCGCTTCTATATATAAATGTATCTAAGGAATCTATCAACTAAAAAATAACAACATACCCTCCCGGACCGATTTTCTGCATCTGCACTCACTGCAACGGTAAACATAACCGTCGACGCACCTCGTGTATCTTTGGATATGCATTACACCTCCGCACTGGCAAGTTTTCTACCTCGCTCTCAGCCTGTTCTCTAAACAGTAATCAAAAACAAAATCTGGAGCGAATTTGCACCGCAAACGATGTACAGCATCTATTCCGAGTCACCTGATTGGCTGCTTAAGGTCATTCTTCCGTTCCCAAGGTAGTTTCGTTTTGGGATGCTAAAGTTTAGAGTGACCGCAGAAGGCCGTGGATTAACAAGATAATAACTGTGGAATGGGAAATTCCGGGACAGACTCATAGAAAGTGACCGGATAAGGAGGTGGTAAACAATCTATGGATCGATTCAAGTTAATAAAGACAACTGTTAGCAGCGTAGTATGGAGGATTTGGTCCCAAATTGATCAAACTGGCAGTCACCTGAACATATTCTATATGATCATCAATCCGCCATTTGTAGCTATCACCCGATACAGCCACCACGATAGAAACCCCAATATGGGGAAATTAGGGCAGTAGTTAAAACCCAGCTTTCTCGTGGGCTGTTCATTGTGGGTCACTATGACAACAACCATGATGACCCACCTTGTTTCAGTGACTATGGTCTCTTAACCTTTATGGACTATCTCTGCCTGGAAATATGTCTGTTTGGTTACGCTGTATTGCATTATTCTTGTTATCACAGACACCCATTCCACCTAAGAGCGAAATCGCTCCATGCAACGTTATGTTACACCCTCACATGTAATCACCGTACATCCATAGATGGCGAAATCCAACCCTTAAACCAGTTGGCATTCATAAAAGTCTAAAAACTTCGCCGCAACTTGGAGGCAAGACGCGAATACTTTTATAAGTTTTAAGTCAGGTGCTGACATTATATGATGAATTGGCTGGACTTATCCGGCATGTTGGTTGAAATTTCGCTCGGCAAATTTGTTTTGTCAATAGTTTTTAATAAAATTTTGTTGTATATTTTCTGGATTGATAGGAATTCTCATTTCCTGGCTAGTTATGTTGGTGTCTGCGTCATTTAATCTGACTGCGACACACTTAGCGTATTGGTTGTAATGATTGGTGTTTCATGCTGAATGCGTCAAAACATCTCTACAATGAAGAAGATGGGGTAGTTGGGGGGTAATGTCATCTACACAAATAGTTTATTTCTTGTAGAAGCTGCAGCTTTCGACGTAGTGTCATTCAATGAAGACTACGTCAAAATGTGGCTATTTTCGTGTGAAGAACAGTACTATTTTACAAAAGAATGCTATCAGTACATAGGAATCACCTATAAATGCCAAAAGGACATAAAGCCAATGTGTAAACGAACGGCTATGGAACTGCAATCCAACATAACCGACTAACATGGACGAAAATGACCTTTGAGCGTCTCACTCCATCAATGACCTTGAGCATGCGGGATAATTTCAGCCGATGAATTCCATCTAGAGCGGTTCAAATGTGGAGGTCTTCGACCCGTAAGTGATCACTGGCTGGAAGACAACCCCTTGCTTTCTACATGTATCCCATCTGATTCCCGCACGTGTTTGCTCAACGTAGGCTTTCTTATTAAACCTGCCAAGTTCCATACAGCTGAAAAACGGGGAATTGTAATCCCTGTCATAATGCAGAGTCGGTGCAGTAAAAATCGTGTGAATCGGCTGCTGCATTTTTCAATCAGCTTGATGGTAGTCTACGGATGCCGCTCATTACGGTCGAACTATTTTATTTGCCACCAAGATTACGCGTCTCGGACTCACATAAGCATAAGTGCTACATTTGCATGCTTCTTTAATTTTAGGGGTCGGCTATTGCAGCACAGTATTCTTTCAATCACTTTATCCTTGTTTCTGTATATCTGATGGGGGCGAGAAATTACTGCAAGCAACCAAAGTCAGGTGGTTGTTGTGAGGCCAGCAGGACCAAGTAAGGCGCTAGTGGCCACCACCAACCTATCATCAACTGGTGGGACAGCCACTAACGTTTTACGGACGTTACTGGCGTGTTTCGTATTGGCTTTTACGGTTTACAAAATTGAAACTTGGCGAGTGCCCATGAAAATGGAAGTTAGTCAAATGACTATCTTGATGTCTGTCTGGTCACCGATGGGCGGTAGGACAGTGGTGTGTGAAGACCTCTCCGTTGATTCCCATTTATTCTGCCATTTCATTTCGTTTCTATTTATCTCCCTCTATAAAATGCGGCAGAAAGGTAAATCATTTGACAGACACCCTGAAGCTTACGAAGGTCAGATGTTTTCTCGGGTACGCACATCAGTTTGCCGTTTGATGCTACTATTGTTTGAATCGCGAATACAACCAACTCTCTATTTGAGAATTGTGAGACTTTCGGGCGAAAACTGAACAACTCGTGGTTTTCTGTGTGCAGCACCACCGTAAACCCTGTGCCCCAAATAAATGAGTCATCACTTTTACTGTTAGAATAATCATAAAAACTAAAGACACTTAGCTCCAGTGGATTCAGTCTCGTAGTTTTATACACCGGGCAATGTAGGGGTACCGTTTTTCTATTTTACACTTTGTAGAAGCATAATGATTATTGTTATTGAGTCAGTTACTGAAGGCGACGTATCACTTCATGTCTAGGAAACCGCAGGTAAGAAGTGACAGAAGGAAGCGTTACCTTTTAAACACGTTAACTTAAATTTTATGCCTCACAGTCAAAAAGGGAAATAAAACAGAGAAACGAACTCCTCACATGTGTTTATCAATATCCTGCTGATATGTACATCCATCTTATCTGTTTTATTTTGATAGATTTCGAGTCGTCTTGGCATGTGGCAGTGGAGACAGAGAGATATGCGAATGCAGATATCATGTTTATTGATACAGAAGGCAATGAACATCAGCAGAGTGTCTAAACTTGCGCTGATTTCTCCATTTGTGAGCAGTACCAGCAGTTTCTTTATAAAAAGCGTTTATAATTTCTTGTCCACTGCTTGCCAGGTATTTCTCTGAATCATAACCATCTTATTAATAAGAGTGGTAGATTGCTTCAAACGCCATCAGTAAATAATGATCTATCACTATGTGCTTTTATCATTTTCATTTAGTTTGAAATTCAAAAGTTTTTTTAGTACTGACGATAAAAGTTGTTGTTTGTAACTCCAAGTGACTCACACTTCAAGACATTCAGAAACTTGTTACTTGTTGCAATTTTCATCTTGAATTGGAACTTATGTAGCCGTTCGGTTCGGTCATTCAAGTAGCACTATTCACCTTCATAAAAATTTCAAGTCATCCGCAGAAGCTCCACGGTCAGAAATTTTGAGCGAAGGCAAGTTAAACAAACGGTCGTTGTGAGAACGGATATTTAGAAGCCATTATGTGAGGGGCTGCTAGCTGGTTAGTTGGATTGCTTCAATTAGAAATAGGGTGAGCAACTATTATGTGGTCACCTATTCCGGTAGACTTACGTCTCGGCTGCACAAATGGCCAATTCACAAGCTTAGCTAAGCCTATGAACGTCTCCAGGCCACATCTAGCTCCGACCAAATCCTGATGAGAGGATGCCAAACGTATATAAGTTATTAGTGGTGCTGTTGACACGTTACACTTTACCATCCCTTACCAAACATAATTCGCCTTGTTACCTAACAAATCGGTACTCTACCTAACACGTAAGTACCGAAAACCAAACGAAATCTAAAAAGACTCAGTTTATTTTTGGAG